TTTTCACTTATCACAGTTAGTGTGTGTGTGTGTGTGTGTGTGTGTGTGTACAAGTGTGCATACATGCACACGCATGCAAATGCACCAGGGGAGGTTGGAGGACACCTTCTAAGAACTGGCTTTCTGCCTCTACCTTGTGGGTCCCAGGTCATCAGCCTTGACAGAAAATGCCTTTATCCACGGAGTCATCTTGCTGAGCTTTTTGTTTGGTTGTTTATTGTTTATTTTGATTTGTTTTGGTTGGGGAGGTGGGGTTAGGGGAGTCGGGTAGGTTCTGGGGACTCGAACTCAGGTGCCGGCACGGCACGCACCTTGTCATCTGAACTATAACTTTGTATTTTAAGGAAGCAGTAGTAACCCCACCTCTTTCAAATGGCAGATACCTTCTGGACCAACCCACAAATAAAGCTGTCCCTGACGGAGAGGGATGAAGGCCAGGAGGGCTGCACTTTCCTGGCAGCCCTGATGCAGAAGGACCGCAGGAAGCTCAGGAGGTTTGGGGCCAACATGCTGACAATTGGCTACGCCATTTACCAGGTGGGAAACCTGCTGTTCTCAGGACCCTGCGGGGCTCTGAGCTCCCTACTACTTCTGGGCTCTGTGTCCTGTTCAAGTCAATTTTCCAGCTGAAAACTAGTTTCATCTCCCTGATGTCCCTGCTTTCCCCTGCAGTGCCCAGACAAGGATGGACACCTGGGTAGGGACTTTTTCAAGTACCATGCCTCCCTGGCCCGGAGCAAGACATTCATCAACCTGAGGGAAGTCTCCGGCCGCTTCCAGCTGCCCCCCGGAGACTACATCCTCATCCCCAGCACCTTTGAGCCTCACCAGGAGGCCAACTTCTGCCTGAGAATCTTCTCTGAGAAGAGAGCTGTCACTCGGTGAGGCGTGGGGGCTGCCGAGCCCTTCTTTCTCGGTGTGCGCTGTACGCTGGGGAGATGTTTGCCAGAGGGGGACCCCATCCTCCCCACCCATCACCCTCAGGAAGTGAGACGGAGCAAGGTGGCTTGCACCGGTAGCTCCACAGACCCCTTTCCCCAGCCACGGCCTGTCTGCTCCCGGTGTAGTCGCTGGCCACTGGGCACAGCCCTTCATCTCTCAGACACGGCCCTCAAGAAGCTTCGAGAGTACAGGGTTCATTTAGGGGTGCCGGGCATATTCACTCACATGGTGCCAACTACTGAAAGTTTCCAGAGTCACAGTCAGTCATTCAGCTGTGCTGTAAACACACACCAGTGACTGTGACTCAGTTCACACTGCTGCCCCATGCCCTGGTCTTAAAAGAGGTCTTTTTAAATCAGCTCCTCCCGTTGCTGACATTTTCCGATGCCGCCACTCAGCATCCGTGACTGTGTGTGCAGCACAGGGGAAAGAGTTCAAGATATAAGAACTCACTTTCTGCTCTAGGGAAGAGCATCTGGAGCAGTGGTTCTCACCTGTGGTCAGGACCCCTTTCTCGGCCCTTTTCGAGCCTATCAGACAACACGGGTACTTCCATTACGCTCCATAACAGCAGCAAACCTACAGTTACCAAGTATCCATGATGATAATTTTTGCTGGAGGCCACCACAACGTCAGGAACAGAATTGAAGGGTTTTGCAGCACTGGGGAGGTTGAGTTCCTCTGATCTAGAGAATTCCAGATGCAGCCCAAGAAGAGACCAGCACACACGGCTGTCAACAGAGACGGCTTGAGCTCCCCACTCTAGCTTCTCCTCTGGGCAGTGAGGTACAACGGGCCTGGCAGTGTGCAATGAGAGGCCCCAGGTCCAAAGTGCGATTGGGCTTCTCGGGGAAGGTGCAATCCTTTTCCTTGGCCAAACAGGAGCAATGAAGTCTTCACATGTCTCCAGGGCTCCCCTGGCTGCTGAGACAAGGCGAGGCTGGGTCCCTCAGCATCCATGCCCACGTAGCATGAGTCCAGCATGGCCATGTCCTGTGAGTGGCCAGTACAGGTGACACCAGCCCCAGGCCTCTGCTTTCTATCCTGTCAGAGAACTCAGCGCCGAGCCCTGATGGCCCCACCATGAAGCAGGGCACAAGATAGCAGTGTGTGCTCCTCACAGGAGACGGGGAAGGCTGTGTCTGTTGCTGTGGCTCTCAGGCAGGGCGCTGATCATCAGCATCTCCTGGAGGGATAATGTGGGTCCAGGGAATGAGGCGGGAGGGGACCGTGCCTTGGATACCTTTCCTGTTACTGTGATGAAATGCCCCGGCTAGAACAATTTGAGGTTTTGTGTTTAGCTCATCCTCCTAGGTGCATTCCATGTTGGTGGGGGATGGGGCAGCGGGGGCTGGCGCAGTCAGGAAGCAGAGTGAGGGAAATGCTGTTGTGCTGGCTTTACTCTTTCTGTGCAGCTCAGGACCCAGCTCAATGAGGAATGGCACCGAGCAGGCCGGGGCAGCAGCTCCAACATCGCATGCCTCCTCTGGGGACCCGGGGTTTGGGGGCGCCGGTATTCCACAGATTACCTCCCGAATCGGGAAAGCAGGGGGCGCTGCTGTAGTCTCTGCTTTCGGGCTGCTCAGGACTGCAGACTGTCCTTGGTTGGGCGCATGCCAGCCTGGCTCTTTCTGGCACTCGGGGCAGGGCTGAGAGGCTGGGGTGGCAGTGTCAGGACAAGGGAGGGGTTGGATAGGCAGCACTGAACAAGACCGTCCGGCAGGCCGAACCTTCCTTTCGTCCTGCGCGATGCGCGCCTGCCACACCGCTGAGGTTGTGTGCTTTCTGCCGCTGCAGGGACCTGGACGAGAACACAGACATCCACCTTCCTGAGGTGAGTCCTCTGCGGGAGGATGGGGGAACCTTCAGCAGAAGGTTCTAGGACTCTTCTTCAAACCGTAGGGTCTCCTAAAGATCAAATTCAGGACTCGAACTGCTCTTGGCCAGGCAGGCGCCCTGGCTGATTCTAGCCTGGAGGCCAGGGCTTCGCTTCCCACCTCACACAGCCAAAGGGAGTGTGCAGAAGCCAGCTGGCTGCTTGGAATAAAGTTCTGTTGGGGGCCATCTTTCTTTGGGCTCCCCCTCCCCTGAGAGGCCCCAGATAATTGTGAAGGCTAATTGGAAGTATCTTCAAACTTACTTTAAGAAGAAAGCCAGGGTGGAACCCACGTGGAATCCCAGCACTTTGGAGGTGGGGGCAGGAGGATTAGGGATTCAAGGCCGGCCCTGTCTGCAGGGTGAACTTAAGACCTGCTGGGATTTATAAGACCCTGTCTCAAACACACACACACACACACACACACACACACACACACACATACACACACAAAGAGAGAAAGAAAGAAAGAAAGAAAGAAAGAAAGAAAGAAAGAAAGAAAGAAAGAAAGAAAGAAAGAAAGAAAAAGAGGGAAGGGAGGAAGAGGAGGAGGGAGAGGGGAAGAAGAGAAGGAAAGAAAAAGGAGGCAGGTTGATTTGGGGAGCACAGGATTCACTGTGGGGGAGCTGTGATGTCTTTAACGGGTTCCTAAGATCTATCTACACATGTCTATGTGTCATGTATGTGTCATGAAGGTAGAAGTGGGGCTAACAGGAAAGAGGAAGGGGTCTAACAGGGAGACCAGGAGAGGCTAGTGGAGGAACTGGTACAGTCATGTATACGCTATGCCTGAATCAAAACATAACTGTGAAATCCAACGCTGTGGAATGAATGTTGACTGTCTGAGGGGCTGAGGTAGGACAGCTGGGTGCTCCTGGAACAGCCAGAGCTTCCTCGGCAGCAGAGACCTGCTGCGAAGGGCCTGCTGCTCTGTGCTTCCCCCGGGGCCACAGTTTATATGACCCCTGCCTTCTCTGGGGGCAGGAAAAGATGACCCTCTATCAGGAAAGATGGGGATGAGGGGGATGAGGCTGGAGCACTGCAGCCCTGGGCCGAGCTGCCAGCCAGGCCAGGCCCCCTGGGCTCCTCATCCATGTTGTAGTGACAGCATTCCCACTCTGGCAATCACTCCATATGAAACTCCCTATCCCCAAGATGAAACCAAGCTGTCCACCAAGCTTTGAGAAACCAGGAGATGCCAAACAAGCCTGGCATGCCAGCTCTGGCCATGGGGCTGGGAAGCCCCCCCCCCCACACCTCCTTGAGATGCTCCGGAGCAGGTGGTAGCTGGCCAGCGGGTTCTGTGCTGTGGGACTGAACCAGGGCCTCCCCCTCAGGAACAGCACAGGGCCCAGCCCTGGGCTCTTCTCTGCTATCTCTGAGGGAGGCGTGTGTCCGCTTTCTCCCTGCTCTGCCCTCGACACACCTCATTGCTCCTCTCAGCTTCCAAAACCGACCCCCCCGGAGGAGGAAACGGAGGAGGAGTGGCAGTTCCGGGCCCTGTACCGTCAAATTGCTGGCGAGGTAGGAAGCTGGGCTCCCAGCACAGGACCGTGGCCACGTGCCATGAAAGCCTGGTGACCTGAGTTTGATCCTCAGAATCCAGGTAAAGGTGAAAGGAGACAACCAACTCAGACACACTAACAAATTCTCACATACACACACACTACAGTAATTCCTAGGTATCCTAGATGTGCAGGCTCCCTCCACAGCTCTGGTAAGGCCTGTGTGTTTCTCTCACCAGCCTGTGCTTTGTGGGTGCTGGTGTTGGTGGGTGTCTCACATTGATGATTCAAGATTCACCCAGAGGTTTTTCATTCACCACATGTTAGGTGTCCTGTCTTGAATATCAAGTGAGGCCCATGTGTGAAGTTTTTGGCTTTCTGGGTGTCCCTTCGAGGAGGCACGTGGACCTGCTGCTTCGTAAGTTCTCCGAGGCTTTGCGAAGCATCCTCAGAGAGCAGGCAGCATGCCCCACCTTCCTGAGCCTTCCCAGGTTGCTATCTCTCCTGGTTGGCCCTTCCCGAGGAACCTGTGGGCTGCGGCTGCCTCAGGGTGAACGCAGCTCCTGGCACAGTGTCCCCAGGGTCGGCCACACTCAGAGCGGCCAAGGAGCCCACAGTGTGGCTGTCTCCACTCCACAGGACATGGAGGTCACTGCCCAGGAGCTCGAGTGCGTCTTAAATGCTGTTCTGCAAAAGAGTAAGTGCCGTTCCCACCAGGGCCGGGGCCCCCTGAAAACAGGGACCACGCTGTCGGGCTCTGCCCCTCAACACCACCCGCATCCCACGGCTGAGCGTGCCAGGCTGCACAAGCTGCTCCCATGGCTTACTTCCTGAACCGATGAGGGCTTCGACGTGTCCCATAGGCCTTCCCACAGAAAAGCTGGTGGCAAGGACAAAAGCCATCCCACATCACCCTCACGTGACCACTGTCACTGTGCGTGTGGCCTGCGCTCCACAGACGTGACTGTGCACGTATGTGCGCTGTGTGTTTTCTGTGCTGTGTGTGTGCGTATCTGTTTTATGTATATGTAGTCTGAGCTGTGTGTATATGTCTATGTTATGTACACGTGTGTATATACTATACATGTGTTACCTGTGCTGTGTGTGCATTCACGTGTACATGTTTCTGTTTTTGTGTGTGTCACGGCCTCTCATCAACTCTCTATCTCAGACTTGCTTCAGTGCCACTTTATCAGAGAATTCTACAGTGTGGTTGTTGCTGGATTCTTACACTCGGCATACTGTTTAGTGTGTGTGTGCGTGTGTGTGTGTGTGTGTGTGTATGTGTGCGTGTGTTCACGTGTGCAGATGTTCACCTTCAAGTGGAACCAGAGGACCACCCCGTATGGCTCCCTGGGGCCATCCACCTTTCTGTTTGTCTGGACAGAGCCTCTCATTGGTGGGAACCAGTGTGTTCCCGCCTCCAGGGGCTGAGGTCACCACCCAGGCTGGCGCTCCTGACTGTCTTAAGGGGCTCTGGGGGATTGAACTCAGGTCTTCTCGATTGCAAGTCAAGCGCTTCACTGACTGAACCGTCTCCCCGGCCCTTGGTTTTATTTTTTGAGACAAGGTTTGTCTAAACACCTAGACTGGACTCAGATTTACCCTTCTCCAGCTCTGAATCTCGAACGCTGGGGCACAGGCTGTCTGAGGCTTCACCACCTGTGCGCGAATATCAAATCTCTTCAGCAATTTGGGGGTGTGTTTTATCTGTCTGCTCTGTTTGAAACTATGTCTCACTTAGGTTCCTGCCTCTGCCTCCTTAATAGTGAGATTATAAGCATGCACCACCACACTCTGCTTTTCAGTAATTTTAAATCCTGCTCATTGAACTTTCCAAGCTGGTGTTAAAGTACACTTGTGAATAGCAGAACATTGTGTGGTTGAAGTTTACCTCTGTTAATATTCTTGATTGGCCATTTATATAATTGTTTTTGGAGACAGATTTTCTGTGTGTAACCTTTGGCTGTCCTGGAACTAATTCTGTATTCCAGGCTGGCCTCAAACTCAGAGATCTGCCTGTCTTTGCCTCCTGAGTGCTGGGATTAAAGGCATGTGCCACCACTGCCCAGCACAGTTTGTAAATAATATTTGCAATTATAAATAGGATGAAGGTTGGGCTGGAGAGACGACTACATGATTAAGAGCACCTGCTGCTCTTCCAGAGGACCTGAGTTCAAATTCTAGCTCTCGAGTCAGGTGCCTCACAACCAGCTGTGATGTCAGCTCCAGAGCATCTCACACCATCTTCTGGCCTCCACAGGCACCTCCAGGCCCCTGTGTACACACATCCGCAGATAAACCCACATACACACAAATTAAAAGAAATCTTTAAGAAGCAGACAAATGGTGAAACTTGGGTTCCCTAGTACCAGCGTAAACTCGGGAGAACAGCCACCCCTAAATTTTCTGTACAGATTGAACTTCCTTCTGGAAGCTCAGTCCCTACTCTCAGCATCCTAAGACCACAGCATGGTCCCAGAAAGCCTGACCCGCCTACACCGCTGGAACCCTAGGAGAAGGGAATGGGCTTGTCTCAGGGTCACTGACCACACGGCTCCCGTGCGATTGCAGAAACAACCTTCAAGTTCAAGAAGCTGAGCCTGCTGTCCTGCAGGAACATCATCTCTCTGATGGACGTATCCTTTCCAGCAGGTGCTGGGGTCCCGCTGAGCAGCGCTGTGGGGGGTGCTCACTCTCCTGGGATAGGCACCACAGCCATGAAAAGTGGGAGACCTTGTTAGCCTAGCTAGGGTTGGGTCAGAACAAGGGGGTCAGGACAGCGCGGTGAGGACAAGAGGGCCAGGACAGCGCGGTGAGGAGAGGGCTTCTGAATGGGTCTGTGCTCTCCCCCAGGGAAAAGGGTCTGCTTTCCCGTGTTGTAAATATTCAGGCGCCCTCCCCATCTTATCTGCCATTTCCCTCTTCAGAGGTTCCTGTTTCTGTCACTGAGGTTACTGCCCCAGGGCCCCAAATCTATTACTCAGGGCACACAGCCCTGACCTCCTCCTGTGGTCCCAGAGCTGGGTTCCCACAGGATCCTGAGTTGAAAGGCCCTTAGCTCATATGTCCAGACCAGTGGCAATGGGAAGCTGGAGTTTGAAGAGTTCCGGGTTTTCTGGGACAAGCTGAAGCACTGGATGGTATGTGATCTCACTCAGACCCCCAGAGTGGGGCAGAGACCAGAACTACAAGCTAAATGTGGCATTGTGAGGTGTGTGTGTGTGGGGTCATGTCCAGGACTCACAGTGCACCCTGATGCTGGCAGGGGCACCACAGTGCATCCACCCAAAAGGAAAGGAGACGAAGGAGGACCCGTGGCTGGAAGGGAGCCCAGAGCATGAGACCCTAACTCCTCAGCATCACATGGGCTGGGGTATAGCTAAGTTGATAGGGTGTTTGCCCAGGATGCCTGAAACTCCGGGTCTGATCCCCAGCCTGAAACTAGGCAAGATGGTATGTCTGTAACTGCCACACTCGAGGACCAAGGATTCTGATCCTTGTGGGGACAAAAGGATCAGAAGTTTAAGGTCACCTTCTGCTACAGGGAGAGTTGGAAGCTAGCCTGGGCTACATCAGACCCTGTCAAAGAGAAGGAAGGAAGAAGGGAGGGAGGGAGGAAGGAATGGAAGGAGGAAAGGAAGGAAGGAGAGAGAAAAGAAGAGAAGGGCTTGCTCTAACCTTGCCTATCTGGAAGGCTGCTGTCATCGTGGGCAGCTGCCAGCAGTCACTGAGCCCTGGCTCTGACTCCACTCTGCTCCCCGGCCCCAGGACCTGTTTCTCCAGTTTGATGTGGACAAGTCCGGCACCATGTCTTCCTATGAACTGCGGAACGCCCTGAAGGCTGCTGGTAAGGACCACGTCAGATGTGTACTCTAGCTGCCATGTTCCTGTTTGCGTGCAAGTGGGGGCGCACACGCTGAGAAGCTGGAAGGACCATGAGAGAGGAAGAAGAGATGAGGCTGGGTGGGAGGTCGGTGGACACCCAGGAGTGGGGAAAGGGGTCTGGGTGGGACAGGGGAGGTGCGAAGGGAAATGGGGTGGGGGAGAAGATGTGGGGAAGAGAATCAACAAGAAAAACCGGAACTGGCTGCCTGTGGCTATGAGATGCCCACCATGCCCGTGATTTCCCATGTCTGCAGGAGGCATAGCCCAGTGAAGAACGAAATGTGTCACAAACATGAGACGGTGCCTGATTTTATTAGGGTCTTGTGGCCCCATTTCCAGGGTGGAGTAGCTTGGTCCTGGAGGCTGCTTTGGCCTCATGGATGCAGATGCCAGGGTTTGGGAGTGGCTGAGGCCAGGCACAGTGCCAGCCTGACCAGCCTCCTCCTCTGTGGCACCTGGAAGAATAAGTGAGGAGACCCCTGGGGGACCTCCAAATGCTGCCGTGAACACGTGGTCAGGCACACGCCCAGAGCTAACTCGGGGAAAGAATACAACCTGAACCATGCATCAGGGAGCGGAGCAATAAAAGTCAGACCCAGAGTCAGACATCCTGACTCACCCAAAGCGTCCGCTGAATGAGGAAGACGAGGCCAGAGGATGGGAGCCATGTCCTGGGGTGGGCAGGCCATCTCCAGGGCTGCACCGGCCTCCAGTGTGCACGGAGCCTCTCTCCGACATGGTGTAAGGCTCGAGCCCCTGCACAGCCCTCCCCACACACTGAGGGCGGCTCCCCAAGGTGCAAAGGCAGCTCTGGGCACTTTAGCACAAGGACCTGGGTTCAGGTGTGGTAGCACGTACCTGTAATCCCAGCACTGGGAGGTGGAGACAGGAGGATTCCTGGAGTTGGCTAGCCAGCCAGCCTGGCCTATGTGGCGAGTTCCAGACCAGTGGGAGGCCTTGTTTTGGAAAACAAGGGGGTTACTGAGGAGTGGCAGCTGCCTTGACCCTGGCCTCTACCACACTCTCAAGTGGACGTCCAAGTGAGCACATGCACTCGGGCTGTGGGCGTTGGCTGCTTGGCTTCCGTGCACCCCGAGGTGTGGGCTCCCCTGGGGCTCCGCCATGGCAGGCCCTGGTCTCCTGTCCATCCGCAGGCTTTCAGCTGGACAGCCATCTCCTGCAGCTACTCGTCCTCAGGTACGCAGATGACGGACTCCAGCTGGACTTTGATGACTACCTCAACTGCCTGGTTCGGCTGGAGAATGCAAGCCGTGAGTGCACAGGGGAGCTGAGTGTGCAGGGAGCTGAGTGCGCAGGGAGCTGAGTGCGCAGGGAGCTGAGTGTGTGCAGGGAGCTGAGTGTGTGCAGGGAGCTG